ATCAGAGAGTTCCAATGCTGCTTCTTTCTCAGGGATGTGTTCTGGATCTGTGTCCTGTTGCTTTGTTTCTACCACTTTGTCTTGCTTCTTTTTGTGGACTGAGATGGTGTCTTGTCTCTGAGACATCGTGACATAGAGGTGTTAAGATCTCTGTTAACTGTGAAGAGCAGCCAAGGGTGATTCAGGCTCTTTTTGGTGTTTTTTTATCATTGGCCCATTGGTGGAGTAGGAGGTGGTGGATCTCGGTCAGTAAGTGAAGTTGCAGGAAGGGTGGGTGTAGTGGTGTCTTATGGGGACTGTTCCTGTCTCCCACTCAATTAGACAAAGTTACAATTGAATAACCATCAAAAAACTAAAGGCACATGGACAAAAAAATATACCATGTAATCACACAGAAACAGTAACCAAAAAAAAAGAGAAAAGAGAAAAAGAAGAAGAAAAAAACAAGACAACCTGTAATATCTGGGGATGGGGCAATAAAAGAAAAAAGGTAGAGAAGGAGAATAATGAAGAAAAAAATGGGGAAAATGCAAAAAGCAAAACAAGTAATTGGGTTAACCAAGAGAAAAAAAGGGGGAAAAATTGCAACCATAAACAAGGAAAAGAAAAAGAGCTGAAAACTAGTACCTGGGAGGGGATGAATAAAGAATAATAGTAAAAAAGACAAGTGTATTAATAATAATGGGAACTCTGGTAGCATAGTGCCTAAGGCATTTGACTGCTAACCAGAAAGCTGGTGGTTCAAACCCACTAGACACTCCTCAGAAGGAAGATGGAGCAATCTACTTTCCTAGTGATACTGCCTTGGAAACCCAAGGATGGGTTGCTATGAGTTGGGTCTGACTCAATGGCATATAACAACAACAACAACAATAATAGGAGTTTTAAAACATTCAAAAACAAGCAAACTATAAGCCAGAATAAAGAAAGAGAAATAAATAAAGAAAAAGAATTAAGAAAAAAATCAGGGATATGTAGGGCAGGGCACCCAGGCTATGCCTGAGCACACAGACTGGGATGGACTTCCTTTGGGCTCAGAAAGTGTGTGGGTGTGGGGATGGCCACACCTCTGTTCACCAAGGGGTGTGGGGTATAAGACTAACAAGGGGAATGTCGCACCTTTTCAGTCATCCAGGTCCGGATTGTCCTTGTTGTTACTGGCTAGCAGAACCTGTTCCTAAGCCTGTGGAATCTTGGAGAGCACTGTCTCTTTAAATATCCAAAATGGTCAAGCTGCTTGTAAACATTCAAAATGGCGACGCCTCCAGAGAGCAAAAGTCCACACCTCAGCCTGCCTTTCTCTTCTCTGGTGCTTCACGTTTTATTCCCCAGCCACCAGAGCAGTCCTCTCTGCAGTCCCTGGCTAGCAGGGATGATTGTTAGGTTAATTCTTAGGTCCTACCACCACTCAGCACTCTCCAAGCTGTCTGTGCCATCAGGATCGCTCAGGATCACTGCCAGACCGCCACTCTGTCTCCTTTTTTGGTATTTTCATGCAAATTTTTCTGCTATTTGGGGTTTAATCCACTTCTATATCCTTCCCTTCAAGTCTTAGTGGTCCAGGATTATCTTCTGTGACTGTGTTAATTGGTTTCCTTTTTTTTTTTGTTTTTGTTGGAGAGGGTCTGTGCAGCCTTTCTCCCTATTCCACCATCTTACCAGAAGTCAAAAGCCTCCTTTTTATCAGGGATTTCAAAGATTTTGTATTTTTAAAAACAACTGACTACACTTTGGTTTCCCAAAGGACAATGCCTTGTTACTAGGCAACAGCTTTTATAACAACCCAAAATAAAGAAACAAAAAAAGTAACTCACTGACATCAAGTAGATTCCAACTCATAGCCACCCCCTTTGCATGTCCAAGGAAATAAATCTTCACAGAAGTAGATTGCCCAGTCTTCCTTAAGATGTGTTAACTCAATGCAATTGTAGATCAACTTCCAGGTATTCTCTGACTTTTGAGACTAAGGAGAGAAACAATTCATTAACAATATCTATTTTTATTGATCTTATATTTTGGGACAAGGAAGAAAGAATGATATGGAGAGATGTAGAGAGGGAAGAGTATTGCTCATTCAGACATATAAACTATTGGCAGAATACAGGGAAGTATAACTGAGAATTTGCCTTTTTCAAGTTCCCTTTTGCCTTCAGTGGCCAATTTAAACACTAGGGTTTAAAATAATAAGTGATTTGTCTTGTCTGTCTCTCCTATGTTTCTAACGATGCAATAGCATAGAGGTGCTAAGCTGAGGTTTTCATGTGCATATACCTGTGGCTGTGTGTTTACAATAAATAAATAAATCATATTCCTGAGATTTTCAACAGTTTTTGCTGACATTTTGTCTGTCCAGACTCTTCTCTGCATAATTTTTTATTTGATTTACAATATGTTCTAAATATTCCTGTTATTCTCCATCAAAGATTGGGAACAGACTGGTGTGTGTGTGTGTGTGTGTGTGTGTGTGTATGACTCACAGCAAACCCCATTGGGTCTTTACAGAAGTAGATTGTTGCCAGGTCTTCCTTCTGCAGAGTGGCTGGTGGATTTGAACCACCAATATTCTGGTTAGCAGTCAAATGCCTTAGCCACTGTTACCACCAGAGCTCCTTGCAGACTGGTACAGAATGCTTAAAAGGCATTTGAGAACCGAAATGGGCTTGTGGCTCCTCTCAAGCACACCCTAAACTATTGAAATAAACTCACTGAACTGGTTGCCCTCCTGACTAATGATTGTTATTTAAGAAGTTCTGGGATATTTAAGTGATGGCATTTCTAATTAAAATGCATTTTCTCCAACAGATTGAAATCTTTGAGACAGCTGATGTGGGTTGACTGAGATGAAAGCATTACTGGTTTTGATGCTATTTTAAGGAATAATTTATTCATTCCTTAAAGAAAAGGAACAAAGGGAATGGTTCCTGCCATTCAATAATGTTAGTTTATCTCCAAAAGCAGTTTTTTGAAGATATTTACCTGTCTGTTTTATAAGACTAAAGATTATCCTTTAATTTATCTGTCCTTGAATCATCATTTTCCAATATTTGAGTTACTCTATGGTATAAGTATTTACATGTAAGATAGATAAAAATTAAATTTTTAATATTGTGTAAGAGGAAAGGAAGCCTACTGGCACAGTGGTTAAGTGCTTGGGTGTTAACCCAAAAGTAGGGATTTCAATTCACCAGAACCTGGGTGATGTGACAGTCTGCTCCTAGAAGATTTCAGCCTTGGAAACACTAGAGCAGTTCTACTCTGCTCTGTACAGTTGTATGAATCAGAATCAACTTGACTAGATGGCAATGGGTTTGGATTTTTTGGTTATTGTAAAATAATTCCTATCTGTAATCACAGATTGTGTGTGCATGTGTGTACATGCTTTAATATCCATTAAGTTTCTGTTGTTTGCCAGGGCCCTTCACAGATATTAATTCTCAGAACAAAGCTGTTTTATTTATTTATTAGCATGATTTTAAAGCCTTGAAAACAGACACTGAGAGGGCTTGTGTAATTTGGCAAATATGTTGTGGATATTTGAGTTATTGGTAGATTTCTGACTTTAATCCTGATATTCTTTGAAATGTAACCTTAAATTAATGAATTATTTGATGGGTAGTAATCAAAGATTACTTAATTTAACATATTTATACTGTCCTGTACATTTGTTACTTTTCAATTAAAGGTTTTTTTCCAATAAATATTTTGTTTATTTTACATTAATGTTTGCATATTTATAATGCATGTACTTACCTTCTTGTTTTGCTTTTGTATATACTGGTACATTTACATGCATAAGATTTATTGTGTTAATTCTAAAACACTGCACACTCTCATACTTGTGGCTACATCAGTGGGGAATGACATAACATCAAGTTTATAAATAAAAAAGTTGAGATTGTAGCACTTTAATAAGAATATTTTGCTTTATATTTTAATTTGCTTTGTATAAATTATAATATACATAGAAACTTATTGTATAAATATAATATTAATGTTGTTTTGAAAACACAATTTGATGCAAATTATGAGTAAAATTAGTGTTTTAAAAATAATTAAAATTACTTAGAAGGTTGGTGAACTGAAGAATATTTATGTTATTTAGTTGAACTAATTTATGTTACCTCAGTTGAACTAATTTATGTTACCTCAGTTGAACTAATTTATGTTATCTCAGTTGAACTAATGGATTTTTAATAAATATATTCCAATCTCCAACCAAGAAGGCTTATTTTTTTAAAATGCAAGGTAACTCAAATAATATATCTTTCCTTTGGTATGGCTGTGTAGTGCTTTAAGGATTATTGTGTTTTTATTTATGTAAACTAAATATTTGATAAAATGAAGGAGCTTGAAATCCTGTCAAAATGGTGAGTTTTTAGCTTATCTTAGCCTAATTACCAAGAGACATCAGAAGTAAAAGTTGTAATCCCTTTTTGTTTTTCTGTGTAAATAATGTTATTGTTTCACACAGTTCCAATTTCAATTTTGCCATATACTTGAAATATTTATACACTGAGATATCACTACCTCACATCTCAGCTATCCAGTCTCCCCACAAGCAATATGATTTTGTAGTGGTGGAGAAAAGACCTCCTTTGATGAAGACACTATTTAACACTGACATGAATTGCTTTTATGGTACCCAAAGTGAGTAATTTCTTAGACAACAAGAATGTATAATGTGAAAATGTGAAGAGATGTACATGTTAAGATTTTGAAATATTAAGATTTTGAAATATGTCCAAAAATGAGTAAAGAAGAATTTAATTTTTCTGAGTTTAGAAATTTAATAATATGTACTCTCTTCTATTTTGACAAATAAATCATTCACCTTCGATTACAAAATTATAACATACTCCAATTATTGGAATTTTTGGAGCCTCTATCATGTCTCAAAATATTTGTTTTAAAAGAGCAAAAAACAAAACCTAGAAAAAGAAAATGAGATGTAAGTATAATATTGGGAGAAACTAACCACTTTTAAAAACCTTGTCTTTCAGGAGAGAACAGTGACCATTAGAAGACAAACTGTAGGAGGATTTGGACTAAGCATAAAGGTAGCCTGGTTTTCCAGTATCATTATGAAGGTCATACTGTCACACTGCATTTTATGTACTTTATTTTTGCTGATTAATAATGAGATCAGAATGGCTGTAGCAAATCTCTTAGTATTCAGTCTGAGATGTAAATTAGAAAAGGTCTCACAGAAGCTTGGCACCCTTAAGCACATCACTCAAGAATTTTTAAAAATATATTTGGGACTTTTATCTAACCAGGCATCACATACAACTCATTCATTTTCTTCATGTGGTTTCATTTGAAATATTAAGTGTTGTATTATACTATGTATAGCTTCTCTAATCAATCAGAGTAGGAAAAGTTAACCTGATACCGGATGCTTGTTGTTGTTGTTGTTTGCCATCGAGTCAGCCCCGACTCATAGCGACCCCTCCTTGGGTTTCCGAGGCAGTATCATTATGGAAGTAGGATCGCCCAACCTTCCTTCCGAGGAGTGGCTGGTGGGTTTGAACCGCCAGCCTTCTGGTGAGCAGTCAAGTGCCTTAGGCACTATGCTACCAGAGCTCCCAGCATGAACAATTTTAATAAAGATAAGAAATTGTAATAATTAAAGTACTAGTGTTGTATTCCTCTTTTTCTTTTGTTTCATATTCATTTTCTTTAAGAAATCAGTAGAATTTCATGTTGTAACAAAAGCATATGTTGTTGTTGTTGTTATGTGTCATCGAGTCAGCCCCAACACATAGCATCCCCTCCCTGGGTTTCCGAGGCAGTATCACGATGGAAGTAGATTGTCCAACCTTCCTTCCAAGGAGTGGCTGGTAGGTTTGAACTACTAGCCTTCTGGTTAACAGTCAAGTGCCTTAGGCACTATGCTACCAGAGCTCCTATAAGATAGACTAAAATCATATTTATTTCAATGACCGTATCTATTCATTTCCATTCACATATATATCTTAAGTGGCTCTTATCTCTATATATTGTTGACTATTAAACATGTACAACATCTGCAATTTAATCATCCTAGAAATAAAACAGAAGTTTAAAAAGGATGGAAATTATTATAAATAATTATAAGATTTCAGCCAATAAATTGAAATACTCTTTAGAAATGTACATCTATGCAAAGATAAATAAAAGACCCACATAAGACCCTTTTCTATAATACTGCTTATCATAATGACTTCTGCAACATTGGCTGCAATATGGGGAAGATGAGGAGTCATAGAGCTCACTAAGGTACCAAAGGCAGGAAAGGTTCCAGGAGCTAAGATTTGTCAGGAGTAGACAAGTTAGCTTCAAATTCTAGCACCACATGTTAGAATATTTTGTATTTTTTTTCTGGCTGAAAACAAAACAAAACATTCTCTTACCCATTTGGCCCTAACCCCAGTGCCATTGAGTCAATTCTGACATTCCAACTCATAATGACCCTATAGGACAGAGTAGAACTGCTCCACAGGGTTTCCAAGACTGTAAATCTTAAGGGAAGCAGTCTATCTCATCTTTCTCCCAAGGAGTCTATTGGGTTCAAACTGCCGAACTTTGGGTTAGCAGACAGAAGCTTTAACCACTATGCCATCAGTCTACCAAAAGCAATTCAATGCCTTCATTGTAATTTAGGATGAGGGAAGTAGAAAAAGAATAAATAATAGATGTAATGAATGAGTAAATATTATACTCTGATAGAAGCTGATAATTATGAGAAGAGAATAGAACAGAGTACAGGAGATTGGAAATTTGGATTCTTAGCTACTAAGAATCTTAGAATGGATTAGTCTTAATCTTATTTACCACATAAATTTTACTCATAAATCTTGATAGAATATGGTAATATCCTCCTTTGATTTAATGTTTGTTACATTCTAAATAAGCATTTTCTATCCATTGTGTCTCTTACTCATTATTTCCACTGTCACAAATTATGGTCACATTTATCCATGAGAGACCATCTTAAAGAGAATCAATAATTTTTTAGAGGGTATGTAAACTAAAGGATAGAGCCAGAATTACAAGTTATTGTAGGCTTTGGTAGAGATTATCTTCACAGGGTTTGTGAGAGATAGATAGTTAAATATTGGTTGGTGGGAGATAATGAAAAAAGGGGAGGTGAGCAGTAGTTTCAAATTTCAACTTGGGTAGAAGTTTTTGACATTGAATTTACTATGTTACTTCTTAATATTAGAGAAGCAAAAAACACTCTGATTGTCAAGAAAATGTGGATTATCTGTATTTTTTGTAGCATTCTCTATCTTATATTTGTGTTAATTGGCCACTCAGTATTAAATATTTGTAATAACCAGCAAAATGACTTTTCTAAAACAACTTTTTGTCCTGGAGGCGTGGAAGCATAGAATCTAATTCATCTATTCCACCCTCATGTATTAAAATACTACTGTTTCTTTTCTATGTAATATCTTATTCTTTAACAAACTTATTTTTAAATATTGTTTTCAGTATGTTTTATAATAATATAGAAATATTATTTAATACTAATGTAGAAATATTTAATACTAATATAGAAATATTATTTTTATTTAGTTATGTCAAGGATTCTTCTCTACCTAAGTTTTTTAGTTTACTTAAAATTATATATATATAATTTGATCAATGAGACTGAAACATTTCTGCAATATTCTAATTAGTTTATTCTATTATGTTCATTGCTTAGGATGTGTTAACACACAAAGAGGAAACTAATACTAAATAAGGGAATGCAGATGAGTTCCTCCCCCCATAAAACCCACAATCTGATTGCATTCACTCCTTTGTGCAAGTCAAGATCTCCCCCAGGTACTTTATATCCTAAGAGGATATAAGTTCACCTTGCACTTTTGAATGTGCTAAACTCACCATCACAGAATAAATTAGCCAGATAGTGGCAATGCATAATCATAACTTGGAATTTTAAATAAAAATTTCTAGAAAGGGTAACATTGCTACACACTGAAGAGAATGCCATTTAAAAATCATTACTAATATTTTTTAAATGAAAAATTTTGAAGTAAACATTTATTAATTATTGAATGTCACAGTGAAATTTTAGACAGGAAATAAATTTCAAGGCAACACTATCTCCTTAGTAAAGAAATTTCACAGGTTATTTAAATGGTGTTTTGTGTTCAGTTAACATGATATTCATAATCTGCAGAGTTTCTTGGCTAAAAGTTATATACTTTTCATTAAAACAATACAATATACACTTTTTTTAAATCTTTCCAGGGAGGAGCAGAACATAACATTCCTGTTGTTGTTTCAAAAATCTCCAAGGAACAAAGAGGTAAAATATTTAGAGAATTACTTAGTAGGACTATTTCATAAAACATATTTCTTGAAGACTTAGATGATTATTAAGAAGTATAAACTACCGTGTAATCAGGCCCAAGTCTGACTTTAGAGTCTCTGCTCTTTATCATACCATGGAAAGCTTCCTGCTGACAAGAAAGTAAGCATCAAACAGAAAACAAAGGCTGTGACCTTGTATGGCAAAAGAGGGGCTGGATAACAATCCAGTTATTCCATTAAACAAACAATGAACTTAATGACACAAGTCTCCTCCAATACAACAATTACAAGTTTTCCTTTTCAGTTCTCTACATTTTAACTCAGTCCTTTATATGAAATTTGACCTAGGAAAAGCAATGAAGATACAAAGCAACTGTTACATTGATTAAAAGCAGCAATGTGATCCAATGTTTAAAATTAAATTTAGAGCTGAATCCACAGATGATGGATTGAACATTTAGGTATCAAACTTCAAGCGAGGTCTTCTCAGAATTTTAAAAGCATTAAGTTAATGACTCCTCCATTTGCAATAGTGTCCAAATTTTAGCAACTGCAAGCTCTGAAGATGTAGAACTGAATAGATATAATCTATGCATGAATTTCAAAATTTGAAGTGGATTGAGTTATATGATCATATTTTAATGTCCATTCCTGGTGGAACTTCTGGAATGCTAACCACCAAACAAAAATATTTAAATTTTCTTACTTTTTGTCTGTTTTACTTTTATTTGATTAAAAAATGTATCTGTGTGTGGGGGAAAAAAAATTATGTATAATCAACTGCCCTTTTTCATTCATAGCGGAACTTTCAGGATTACTCTTTATTGGGGATGCAATTCTACAGGTATACATTTATCATTATTTTCTGTATGCAGCCAAATTTAAACTCCATTTCCAATATACCATCTGAAATTATGCTTTCCTTTTCATGGCAGATAAATGGAATTAATGTGAGAAAATGCAGACATGAAGAAGTGGTAAGTTTCGTTGACTTTTTCTTAATGCCATAATTTTCTCCATATGAAAATAAGGGTATATTGCATTGCTGAATTTTATTTTATTTTTTTCCATGGGTGAGATAAAACATTGTTGTACTGTGCTCTGACTATCCTATTTTCAAATGAACCTAATTGATTTATTTTATTAGAAACAAATCCGGGAGTACTATTCAAGAAAAAACAAAATTCAAACAAATACGGATAGTAATTTATTATGGTTTTCTATTAACTACTACCAATTACTGTCCACAAGTATGTCTCTAGGTGCAGTGGATCTCTAAATATTTGCAAATGTTTCAAAGCTTATACACAATATAACTTATGTCTGTGTGATCTCATACAGTTGTAGAGACAAATGCAAGAGCATATCAAGAATATCCATGTGTGGTAAGTGTATGAGAGGAGAGGGAGAGAGATAGATTTAAAGGAGCTTCATGTTGAGACAGGATAGCTTAGCACTAGGAAAAATGTTCATCAGTTTTTACTGGGGTAATATTTTTGGATGTTTGTAAGTATATGAATGCAGATTCTGAGGCCTTACCTCAGATATTCCAAGTCAGTTAGTTTTAGGTGGGCCCAAGAATCTGGATGCCAGTGACCAGCACAGTAATTCCATAGAAAATGACTTCTCAACCACACTGAAGCAAGCTGCAGGTTCAGGAGTTGAGAATATTAAAATGACGTGAATAATAACACCGAAAGAAATGATGCAGTGTTGGGTAAAATTATCTGCCAGTGCTGATTGCATAATATTTGTGAGACACTCACTGAATTTCTGTATCAGTCCTCACAGGAAGGAGAAATTTAATTTAAGTTTATTCTTAAGGAAATCAAATGAATAACCTTTTAAGGCTCCTGGTTCTTAAGGCTTTGATTTATTTGATTTCGGCGTATTGCCCCCCAGCAGCCTCTGTGAAATGCCATTTGAGAAAAACTCCTTTGACATATTTACATGGGATTAATATGCAATTACCAACCTCAGTGAGACAACTTCCAGCATCTGTGAGAAGCTCCAGTTTCACAAGTATTGATATCAAAGAAGATTCTCCATTATGAGCACTTAGAATAATTGAACTTTGTTAGTATTCAGCACATGTCTTACTCTTCTCAAAATCTTATTTAAGATCATCATATGTACACTGTGGTGATCATTGTGCAAAATATAACTATTTCAAGTTTTCTTTAAATATGTAGAAAAATGTAGTATTTTAGAACAGATTTTGACACAATCGAAAGATAACAGCATACTTACAGCACTCTGCTGTCAAGCTTCGTATCTAAATTCTAAATATAGCACTTTAACCAAAGATAGTTTTAACTTCAGTCTTTTTTCAAAAGCACAAACTAATTTGAAACTCATTATCCAGGGAGTATATAAAAAGAGTGTATTCTTTTTTATAGCCACATGCTGTCAGATGGAATTGGGTTTGCAATTTGCTCTTCACGGGAAGGCAGCAAACTGCAATGCACCTTTGATGAAGCAGGTTCATGTGGCCACAAATTAGAACAACGCACCATTAATGCCACTTCTTATGGTGCTCATTCTATTTCAAATAAAATAAGTTTGAAATTGTATTGCAAATTATATATGGTCCTTCACAACAAACTTGGTTTTTTTAAAGTTTTAACCGTATCAGCTTTGAAATATTGATACCAATATTCTTGTTATTTTCAATCTTTCACTTTCCAAAAGTGATTAGATTCTTTTGTCCTCACTGATTATTATTTTTGAAGCAAATAGATTTACACTTCAAAAAGACTAAGCTATCAATTAAATACATAAGAAAGAACTTATCTATAAAGAAAAGACAAAACAGGATCAGAGGATGAAAATTATAATGAAGTAGTATCCTGATATATCACATTCTGTTTTCCAAGTCAATGATTAATATAGACTTCTGCATTAAAAAAACAACTTGGACAGATGTAACAACATTGCTTTTGTTCATGTAACTTTTTTTTTTTTTTTTTACCTACTCTATTCACGGACATTTTTAACAATACTGCATTCTTTCTCTAGTTTCCCACAGAGGAGAGATGGATAGATGTTTTCGGAGATTTCTATCTAAAAAAAATATATATATATTTTTGGTTTATGTTTTGAGATTTATTGGTCTCAGCAACAAGGTTCAATATATTTTGTTTTTATGGTCTTACTGATAGGAAAGAAAATGATACAAAATGTAAATAATTATTGCTCTGATTATGAATTGCAAATTTGAAACAAACTCTCAAATAACTTTATAATTATTAAAAGATAGGAATTATTAGGTAAATTGTGTGAGTTAAAATGGCACATCTATACAATGAAAACAAATTAGTTTTATTTTGATAAAAAATGATGGAAAATGCTGATGATTTGTTAGGATATGAGCTCTGGTAGCATAGTGCCTAAGGCAATTGACTGCTCACCAGAAGGCTGGCGGTTAAAACCCACCAGCCACTCCTTGGAAGGAAGGTTGGGCAATCCTACTTCCATAATGATACTGCCTCGGAAACCCAAGGAGGGGTCGCTATGAGTCGGGGCTGACTCCACGGCAAACAACAACAACAACAACAAATGAAAAATTTCCACTAGCACAAAAATAATATTTTCTTTTTTATCTTAAATGAATCAGAGTTATACCATAACATCTAAGAATAAGGCATTCATTTCTGTAAAGCCTAAGAGGTTTTATGAGTTATTAAGGAAGATATTTAGGATATGATTTTGGCAGACAAAGCAATTCAGATCTTGGAAAAAAAAATCTAAATGTCACTGAATTACAAATCATGTTTTAACTAATTGTTACAAATTGCACTCTTTACAATTTGGAAGTAGATTTTTGACCTCCAACTGATTGATATATTCCTCAAAAATATTAATTATACTAGACTCTTTTTCTTTGTAAAAACTACCTCTAAGGAAAATCATATATGAAATAATTTAACTTTTAATATTTCCCAACAAGTTGAGAAATGTTAAGTGCAGGGACAAAATGATCAGAAATATTGTAATATTGCTTATGCTATCTCTGATTAAATAAA